ATGCCCAACGCATGACTATTATAAAAGGGACCTGCCTTCTCTATTCTGGCTCGAGATATTTAACTAAACATTCAGCCTCCTGCTGGAAACTTCTGAGGGAAAGATGAAACCATCTCCTGGGTAACAGGGGAAGTTATAGTAGAAATAAAGCCACGATGCCCCACGCCGTGCCAGATGACTCAGCATTCTGAGCGACACTGAGAACTTCAGACTGAGGATGGATCTGGACTGTTCATAAATGTGTGGTTCTAAACATTCTGCCTGCTTGAGATCATTTCCCTACTTATACTCCCTTGCTCACAAAGTTTAGCCTGGAAACTGGGAGTCAATACTTACACAGCCACATCCTGGCTGACCTCATCCAAACACCACCTTTGGCCAAGTTAGCACCTAAGCCCCTTATGGACTCTGTGAGCCTAGCTGCCTGGTTTCTTCTGCACATATCACTTGTTTCTGCTTCACACGGACACACTAGGAACATCTTTGGGACCCATCGCATTATCGGGAATGCAACGAGGGAGGACACTAACTCCCTCTGATTTTTGGCTATCAGTCACCCAGAGAACTTTCCTGGTGCCATAGGTTTTCAAACCTATTAGGTTTTACATGATAGGATAATACTATATTAACCCAATTAAAACATGGCTTTTACAAAATGATGGAACTGGAATAATTAGCTGTTCCTCTGGGTTCTCACAGCATTTAGTACACAACTTTCTTGTAGCAGTACATATACTTGTTGCTGCTTTTTATGCACATAGGGCTCTTTCCAGACTCGTGAGCCTGACAGACAGATGCCTGGCTTTATCCTGACATCCCCTGCCCCTGGCAGAGTGCCTGGCACACAGTGGGTACACAGAAAAGGGGTATTAAAGGAATAAGTAAACATTTCAGGTTTTGCAACAAAAATTCAGATGCAATTTAGTACTCCTTATACCTACCCCTTCTCTTAAAATTCTGTATGTTAAATTGTGGTATGATACACTCCAGATGAAATACCTAGGAAAAGCTCATGAATGATAATGAAATCAACAACTGAAATCTTCCTTACTTCTCACTAGTTTTGTGAAAATACTTTAGTTATGCAAATTTTAATCTGACAATAAACAAGACATTCCTCAGGCTTCCTAATAAAAATTTTTTAGGATTCAGCTGGTTTAGATACATATCAAATATAAATTAAATTTAATAGTGTCTTTTCAAGATGATGATCTGGCTGGGTCCTTCTTAAAAGAACATCCTCGTATACACCTAAAAGTTTTATGGCCACAAGAGAGAAGGCGAGTCCTCACCTTCAGAAAGCCAAGGCAGGGGAACGAGCACGACCATTTGTCAAACAACCTAGGCCTTGTTTCAGGAATGAAGACGTCTAAAGTAGAAGGAGGGCCAGCAGTAAGTCACACTGAATAGTTTCCAAAATGCACAGATTTTGAAAACTGATTTCAGACTTTTTTTTTTCAGACTTGGCAAATTCACAGACTAAATTTCTGACTTGCTTTAAAGAAGTCAGGAATCTTGTGGTGCACTTGGAGCCTCACACAGCAAAGACCCAAAGTGCAGGCTCCCTCCAGCACTGGGGCCGGTGACGTGTCTCAGTGTAATGCAAACCTGGGTGAGAAGTAGCGCTGAGGGGAGGACGACACAGGGAAGCGCGGGGCTGGCCCCCATGTTCAGGGTAGTCAGACTCTGTGATAGTGTGCACGGGTCCAGCAGCGCCGGGCAGCACCGTTCAGGAGAGACGAGCCCTCTGTCAGAAGAAGGCAAATGCATGAGTGACTCTACTCAGGAAAAGCATGTGGTAAAAGGTTCTGTGTTAAGTGATGTCTTTCTGTGGTCAAGCAGGGTGTACAGGAACATATCAAATCAGTGGAATTAGGTTACTATAACTCTGGGGGCAAACAGAACAGGTCACAGGCACCAAGAATCTTGAACAAAGGCACGACAGAGAGGATAATACCGTGCAGATATTACCCTGAGATGAAGAGAGAGGAAGAAACCGAAGGAGTCTGGGTGGAACGAACATCTGAGAACAATTATGTCGAGCCCTCCAGGAAGCACTTACTTACTGCTCCCAACCTGTAAGTGACGAGAGGTACTGCTTGATCACCGTGTTAGAGAGGTTAGGTGGCCCGCCCCAGGCCACACTAGTAGTAAGTGGCAAGACTGGATTCGAAGAGTCTGACCACAAAGCCATAACGCATGAAGTCAACATAGGAAGAGCTTGTGCCTCAAAGTAAGGGGCTTACACCAGAGCTGCATGCTGTTATTTCTTCCCGGCCCGACTCGTGAGTAATGCTGCGTGGAGAACACCCTCACCCGAGAGCTGGGGGAGCTCAGACTGACTTTGACTCCACTTAGATTACTCATGACAGCAGCTGTCTGCCACCTCAAGCCCCCTCCTCGCTCCTTACTTCCAGCCAAACTTCTGCCCGTCCAGAGCAGGTGGGCGAGGGAGTCAAGAGAACATTTACGGGCACCCACTTTGTGTAGGCATCGTGTTAGGCATTGTCAGAACCACATGGCGGGGCGTTTCCGCTTCCAGTGAGGGTGTAGAAAGTCACAAGGGGCTGTTGCTCCCACACAAACATGACACATCTTTTTTAAAATCCACCAGGCTGCTAAGGACACAAAGAAACCGAAGTGAACGAAATTCTAGAAACGAGCAAACACTGCCCAGGAGAAAAGAGACCCGTGGCTGCACTCATCCCTGGCACTATGAGATGGGGAACTTCATCAGGTACAAGGGAGCAGGGCAAGGGGCTGGGGCAGGAGAGAAGATCCGCTCCAGCCCTCGGGGCCCTGGGTCTTCACTGCGCACAAGGTGGCAAGGACTCCTGACCCAGAGCGAGCGAGGAAGAAGAAATCCTCTGCCACAGAAACCTTCACCAAGTGCACAGGCTCTCCTGAGGCTGGGCTGGGCAGAGAGGGGAGAGTGATCTCCCAAGAAGTGGAAAGCTGGAGAGAAACAGGATCGTGCCAACAACCTGAAAAGCAGGCAGCCAGCCTGCAAAGCTGACAGAGAGCCCACATGGTTTAGAAAGGCAGAAGCCACGCTGTGAAGCAGAAAGGGAATTCTGGAGTCTCACTGTGCTCAGATGCCCAGCCCTGCTGAAAGGAAAGTCCTGATCCTGTTCTCAAAACATCTGAAGACAGTGGAGAACCAACTCTGGAACTGCAACAGAGCCCAGATCCAGCTTGATTACAGATTAGATTCATTCATTCCTGTGCTGGTGGGAAGCCAAGGCCACCCCCAGGTTCAACAATTGGCTGGGAGGGCTCACAGGACTCAGGATACAGTCAAACTCACAGATATAATTCCTTATAGCATAAGAATGCAAAGCAAAACTCACAAAGGGAAGAGGCATGTGGGGTGAAGTCCAGGGGAAACCAGGCACAAGTCTCCAACAGCCCTCTCCCAGCAGAGGCCCACAGGGCAGCTTAATTCCCCAGCAAGAAGCTGTAACACATGTGAAATGGTACCAGCCTAGAAAGGTCACTGGAAGCTCAGTGCCAGGGTTTTACTGGAACTAATCACAGAGGCACTCTCTGCCTAGCACATATCAACATTCAAGTCTCCCAGAAGGAAGCAGATATTGGGCACATACCACACTGTCTGGACAGCTTAGGCACCGTCAACTCCTCTTATCAATGAGGGTTGTGGGAAGTCCTCTGATGTCCAAGGTCCCAGATGGCAGCCAAGGGCCAAGCTTGCAAGTACACCTTTGACAGGACACAGGCCTGCCTGTTAGCTATCTCTGGACAATCCCCCACCGGCCTGATACAGAAAGAGGCACTTACTTTCCCATGGCCAATTATTAGGTAGCTCAGTCTCTACTGTTCTTCCATACATAATATCTAGCATTCAGTTAAAAACTATGAGACATGCAAAGAAACAAGAAAATGCGATCCTAAGTCAAGAAAAAGTAAACAGAAACTGATGTACAGAAAGCTCAGATATTGAAATTATTAGATACAAACATTTAAATAGTGATGATAAATGTGTTAAAGGCTCTAATGAAAAACATGTGTAACCAGATGATAAATTTTAGCAGAATAAAAGCCATAAGAACCAAATGAAAATGCCAGAAAATAGAAAAAAAAAAAAAAAACAGACATGAATAATTCACCTGAGTATCTAAATAGCAGATCTGATGTTAGGAGAAGGATAAGTAATCTTGAAAAAAGATCAGTAGAAGTCATATAAACTGAAACACAGAGAGAAAGAAGAATTAAAGAGAGAGAGAGAGATCATATGAATGCTGTGAGATACCAAACAGTTTAATATGACGTAGTATCATCTTGGAGGAAAAGGAGAAAACATATGGAAAAGAAGTAATATTCAAGAGATAGTGGCTGAGAAGAGACTGGTCCACAACTGACGAAAGGCATCAATCCACAAGACCCAAAAGCTCAGCAAACCCCAAGCACGGCAAACACGAGGAAGCCATACCTAAACTTAATGATGTTAATATGATGAAAACCAAAGAAAGAGAGAAAAAGCTTAAAACCACACAGAGGAAAAAGGACCATTACACACAGGGAGAAATGATAAGGATCAGAAATAACAAAGGACAAAACATAATAGAACAATATCGTTAGAGTGATGTCTTCCCAGAAATCCACAGTCATCAAAAGTAAAGTAAATTTACACAAAGTAAAGAATTTCCAAACAGACAAAAGCTGAGATAATTTAACCCCAGCAAACCAGCATATAACAAATGCGAGGAAGAAAATTTATTAGATGGAAGCCCAGGCCTACAAGGAAATAATAAAGAACACCAGAAAGCTCAAATACACAGGCGAATATAAAAAACATTTTAAAAATGTCATATATGTGTGTGTGTATATATATATATATATATATATATATATACACACATATGTAAATATTAAAAATGTCTTTTTTGTGTATACAATATATGTAAATATGTTTTATAATTTAAAAAATTATATTTTGATATGTACTTAAATACTGACTGCATAAAGCAAAAAATAATAGAACAGTGTTGACTTCATAACAAATGGAAGCAATATATATGACTATAAGAGCACAAAGGGTAGAAGAGAAATCATATGAATTACAGCGTTTCATGGTTCTTAACACTGTTCATGAAAGAGTTTATCTGGAGCTAGCTAGAATGTGTTACAATACAGATGCATAATACAACGTGTACAGCAATCGCTAAAAAGAAAATAAATTGAAAATAAATCAAGATGGTACTTTTCAAATGAGACATATCAAAATTACATTAAATGTAAATGGACTGGGCGCCTGGGTGGCTCAGTTGGTTAAGCAACTGCCTTCGGCTCAGGTCATGATCCTGGAGTCCCGGGATCGAGTCCCGCATTGGGCTCCCTGCTCAGCGGGGAGTCTGCTTCTCCCTCTGACTCTCCCCCCTCTCATGTGCTCTCTCTCTCTCTCATTCTCTCTCTCAAATAAATAAAATCTTTAAAAAAAATGTAAATGGCCTAAAAGCACTCCAATTGAAGGGCAGAACTGTCAGATGGGCTGTGTGCTCGCACGCGCGCACACACACACAAGCACAAACAAGATCCAGCTATATGCTATTTATAGGAACACACTTTATTTTATTTATTTATTTTTAAAGATTTATTTATTTGACAGAGAGAGACACAGCGAGAGAGGGAACACAAGCAGAGGGAGTGGGAGAGGGAGGAGCAGGCTTCCCACCTAACAGGGAGCCGATGTGGGACTCGATCCCAGGACCCTGGGACCATGACCTGAGCCAAAGGCAGATGCTTAATGACTGAGCCACCCAGGCACCCCTGGAACACACTTTAAATATAAAGACTCAGAACGTTTCCTTCAGAGTTCAAAACCTAGTGTGGTGGCTGGCAGATTATGGTCCATGGACCCCCTGCATCAGAACCACAGGAGAATGTAACCACAGGAGAATGGAGTCAAGGATGCCTGATGGCCTTCAGGCTCAAGGAAATCACGAAAGCATCTCCTGGGTTTGGGAACACATTATCTGCACATTTGTTAAGATCTCAAGGTGGCTCTGAAGTTGAGTTAAGAACTGATCTGGTGGGAAGAGTGGCCAGAGGCCAGAACTGCTCCCATTAACAAAAGAGCAAGCCTGAGATCCTCCCAGCACCTCCCACTTGGGGTGGCCAGCAAAGGGCTGATGGTCCAAGTCTGCTCCAAGCTATGAGGACATATTCCTTCTGGTCTCCTCCTTCAAATCAACCACTCCTTCTGAAAGTAGCTTTTGAAATAATGACATCATTGTTCCCATTTTCCAAATAAGGAGGCAGTGACCCAAAATGGCAAAGGATCAAAATCCCCAGATGTCACCTAGTTAGTAAGTAATGGCACCAAGATTTTGATCCTTATCTGCCCAACTCCAAAACCAGAAATAACAACAACAAAAGCAAAATAACACCAACATCTAAAGACATATGTAGAAGAAATCCAGAGAGGGAGAAAAACCATATGAGACTACTGACTCCGGGAAACAAACCAAGGGTTGCGGAAAGGGAGGTGGGTGGGGGGATGGGGTAATTGGGTGATGAGAATTAAGGAGGGCATGTGATGTGATGAACACTGGGTGTTATACGGAACTAATGAATCGTTTAACATTATATCAAAAACTAATGATGTACTATATATTGGCTAACTGAACTTAAATTAAAAAAAGAAAGAAAGACATATGTAAAGAAAACATAATACCTAGAAAATATTTACAATGAGTGACTTGCAAACATAAATTTAGGCTCACTCAAAAGAAAATAAACCATGATCGGGCTGGTCGTTTTTTGTTTTTTGTTTTTTTTCCTAGAGACTGGAGTCATTTTTAAAGATTGGGAAGGGAAAAAGAGTCAACATTTTTTGATCATCTACCACGTATCATACCCACTACTCATACAAACGGTATCGCTTTGAGTATCTCCAACACCAGAGAAAGATATTATGATCAGCATTTTAAAGACAATAAAAATGTACAGAGAAGTTAAATTAAACAGACTACAAGTAGCACAGCCAGGATCTGAACCTGAGTCCATCTGGTTCTAAATTCTGGGTTTTTCTGCAAGACCTCAATGCGCTCAGAGATTGTCAAGTGCAAAACAGAATCCCAATGAACTTCAAAGAGCAATTTGTCACTGCTTTCCCGGGACTATGTCAGAGATGATGAGCAAGTTTACATTCTGCTTTGACACAGGGTAGTTTCTAAAATATCATTTTTATTTATAGTTTTGCTTTTTACTTAAATTTACTGAACATGTAAAAACACTTAGTTCACGCAGTTCAAAACTTAACTGGGAGAGGTCTCACTCTCAGCCGTGGCCTCCTATCCACCCAGGCCCAAGCCTCACTGCCCAACCATATGGTTTATTTATTTTGTGCATATGCTTCAAGAGGCTTTAAAGCAGACATACATACAAATATATCTCTGCCCTTTCTTACCTCAAAGGCTGTGTACTTTCTTTTTCTAAATCTTGCTTTTTCCACTTCATTATAGATATCAAATACCCTTCCAAAGAAGTAAGTAAGTACTCTTTTTTTTTATAGCTGTACAGTGTTCTGGTGTTTGGATACCCCCTGGTTTATTTAAACCTTACTCTATCCACAAACATTTTCGTTGTTTCCAATGAATAACATTGCACAGTCCTTATTTCAGACATCAGCAAGTGCACCCGTAAGATCACATCTCACAAGAGGCAGGCTGAGGCAAACAGCATGTGCACCTGCAGGTGGGACAGGTTCTCCAACCTGCCCCCACCCAGGGCCTGGGAGCATTTACACTCCAAATGGCAAAGTATAAACAGCTCTCGCACAGCCTCACCAACAGACTGTGCTATCAAACTTGTGAATGTTTACTAATCAATAAGCAAAAAACGGTATTTCAATGTACTTTCCTTTTTTTTTTTTTTTTAATTATCAGGGAGGTGAGGCACCTTATCATATACCCAAGAGCTATTCCCTTCTCTGTGACCTGTTCTCTTTACCTACTTTTCAATTGGGATACCGGGAGCAGTTTATTTTTAATATGAGATAATCATTCATAAAAATAAGGCAAATGTTAAAAAACCAGTAGCATTAAGAATTCCAGCTGCTGAATCAGTATTTTCCTTCTTGATTTTGAAAACTACTACCTTAAAGTACCATTCTCTGGCTTTGGTATCTAACAAGTACACTGCGAGAAATCTAGACTAGTTTCCTAGAAGGAATGGGTGAATCAATCAGCATAGCAGACAAGCTAGGGAGGGAAGTCCAGTGACCCCAAATCAGCTAAAACAGTGGATCTGTGGAACCATTTCCCTCCTCCCCTCCACCTCCTCCATCTCTCTTATCAGTACCTCCCACCCCAGTATCAATGACTCTCATGACAGGAAAGAAACTAGCACAACTCTGTTTTTCAGAAATCAGTAATTATAATCCAGTTTCACAAGCGGTATGAACCCAAGTGAAATGAGCATGTAACCCTCACACTTAGTATGAATGATACCTACAGGGCTAGCAAAAACAAGCATCCTCTTTTAGAAGTATCCCTTTACATGAAAAGATAAAACTTTATTTAAAAATAAAGTTATTCAAGACAAGAGATAAGCTGCAGACTGGGAGAAAATATTTGCAAAGATGTATCTGATTAGGGACCATTATCCAAAATACATAAATAACTCTTAAAACTCAACAATAAGTTGAGAAAATGAATAACCCAAGTAAAAAAAAAAAAAAGAGCAAAAAGCCTGAACAGACACATCACTAAAGAAGATATACAGATGATGAGCAGGTACATGAAAGATGCTTCACAGCTTATGTCATCAGGGAAATACAAATTAAAGCAAGGATGAGTATCACCTCACCCCTATTAGAGTGACCCAAATCCAGAACACTGAAAACACCAAAGGCTGGTGAGGATGTGGAGCAATAGGAACTCTGATGCATTGCTAGTGGGGATGCAGAATGGTACAGCCACTTTGGAAGACAGTGTGGCAGTTTCTTGCCGAACGAAACATACTCCATACGATCCGGCAATCACACTCCTTAAATAAAGGAGTGTGAACTATAGGTCAGGAGTTGGGAACTTAGGTCAGGACAAAAATCTGCACCCAGTGTTTAAGCAGCTTTATTCATAATTGCCAAAACTTTAGAAGAAACCAAGATGTCCTTCAGTAGGTGAACGGATAAATAAACTGTGGCACATCCAGGTAATGGAATATTATTCAGCACTAAAAAGAAATGCAAATGCACTATCAAGTCATGAAAAGACACGGAGGAGCCTTAAATGTGTATTACAAAGTGAAAGAAGCCAATCTGAAAGGGCTACATGCTGTATGATTCCAACTCTAGGACATTCTGGAAAAGGCGAAGATATGGAGACAGTAGGCAGATTAGTGGCTGCCAGGGGAGACGGGGGGTAGGGAGGGGTGAGTGGGTGGAACACAGAGGACTTTCAAGGCAGTGAGACGGCTCTGCGCGATAACCATAACAGTGGATACGTGTCATGATGCATCTGTCAAAACCCACAGAAGGCAGAAAACCAACATGGAGCCCTACTGTACTATGGCCTTGGATGAGTACGACGTGTCAGTACAGGCTGGACTGTGCCAAATGTACCGCTCTGGTGGGGATGCTGACAACGGGGAGGGTGTGAGTGGGAGGCAGGGCCAGGCAGTATAGGGGAAGTGCCTGTACTTTCTTCTCAATTTCGCTGTGAATTGAAAACTACCTTCAAAGTACTTTATTAATTTCAAAAAAAAAGGAGGTAAGACGTAAAATCCAACGAAGGCCCGTGGTTTAGTTAACAGCAGGATACCCAAGTCAATTTCCCAGTTTTGATAACACACTATGGTTAAAGAAGACACCGACCTTGAGGGAAGATGGGGAATAGGTACCTGGGAAATCTGCCGGACTCTCTATCAGTTTAGAATTATTTTAAAATAAAAATGTTTTCAATGAAATAAAGCCACCATTTATTAACGTGTTAGGAGACCATCACTGAGTCACCCAGCCCCCTTAATTGAGAACAATCCTATCAACAGAGTTGTGGGGTCAAAGGAGCCCAACAGAGAGAGAGAAAACCACGTGAGGGGACTCCCGCCTGTGATCACATTGCCTCACTGAGTGGCGCGCCGGCGTATTTATTCATGAGGAAGCAAACAGCTGAACAGCCAGAGGGAGGGAACAAGCCCATTTGGTTTGGAGGCCCCTGGCTCCGCAGCAGCTCCTCTGTGCAAGAGTCTTCTCTGGCACTTGCTCAAGACTGACAGTGCTGGTCCCACCCGAGGGAATGCATTTTAATTACGGCTGCAAGAGGCGCATAGAGCCCCTTCACTGCTTGTGAATTTTCCGGGGTTTGATGGGCTTCACCCCATGTTTTATAGTCCTTTCGATCTTAGGATGACTTGGAAATGCTTTTGGCATGAAGATGTTCCCAGAAAAAACTGGGAATGACCATAACTGTCCAATTATGAGGGGAATGGGTAATTAAACTACGATACTCATCCTAAAGCAGCCGTTAAAAGCAGTTTTACAGTAAGTATATGTTCATGAAATGGAAAAATGCCTGTGGAACGATGATTAAAAAAAAAAAAAAAGGGCTATATTTATAATGCTCAAATCAGGCAGGCTCTCCAGCCCTGCCTTTGACTGGGAGGTTATTCTAACTCAACAGCAAAGTATTCTTGGCAAACCATCTGGCCACTCATTTAAGCTATGTTCTCTAATAGAGCTTTATCGGTGGTAAAACTGATGTTTGAATCTCCACCCAAAAATGCTCATTTACAGTATGACCTCAATTAGGTCTTAAAAAAAAATATCATATCCAAAAATTCTGCAAAGAAAGGGAAGGAAAAGCACTTTCCAAATCTTATACAGTGAACACATATTAATTTTATTTTTTAAATAAATAAATAAAAACATGTAATTTTAAAAGGCAATACAAGAGTTTGCCCTTATTACAGTGTTTCCGGACACAAAGTATATACTGTAAATTATATATCTGCATCTAGGAAAGCCAACTGGTTTCCTCTTGCAAGCCAACCGCAATGGATTAGTAGTGTCTGCCTGATGGTTCTGAGGCTTCATGTAGGATTAGTAAAACGGAGAGGCTTGATTTCTTGGTAATATTTGCCACTGGTATGCAGAGGGAGCGTGGGAGCACGCATACCATGTATTTTCGGATTCTGATGAGAGTTTTCAACCACAGAGTAGATGTGAAAGGAAGAAAACAAGAGGGGAATGCAGTGGGCAGAATAATGTCCCTGCAAAGATGTCCATGTCCTGGTATCTGGAAGCTCACACGGCAAAAAGAAGTTACAACTACAGGGGGAGTCGAAGTTGTTAACCATCTGACCTTAAGGTAAGGACATTCTCCTGGGCCATCCAAGTGGGCCCACAGGTGAAATCACAAGGGTCCTCCCAGGTGAAAGGCGGAAGGGAGGCAGAGGAGAGAGAGGTGGGGTGCTACGTTGCTGGCTCGGAAGACAGAGGGCTGGGGCCAAAAGCCAAGGAATGCAGGCAGCCTCCAGAAGCCAGAAACGACCAGGGGATGGATTTTCTCCTGAAGCCTCCAGAAGGAATACGGCCCTGCCATCACCTTGCCTTTGGCTCCGTGAGACCTGCGCCAGAATTCTGACCTATTCAGTAATAACTTGTGCAGTTTCTAACTACAAGGTGGAGGTAGTAGAGCAGTAACAGAAAAGTGACAGACAGGGGCGCCTGGGTGGCTCAGTCGTTAAGCGTCTGCCTTCGGCTCAGGTCATGGTCCCAGGGTCCTGGGATCGAGCCCCACATCGGGCTCCCTGCTCGGCGGAGAGCCTGCTTCTCCCTCTCCCTGCTGCTTGTGTTCCCTCTCTCGTTGTGTCTCTCTCTGTCAAATAAATAAATAAAATCTTAAAAAAAAAAAAAAAGAAGAAGAAGAAAAGTGACACAGAGAAAAGAGAACCATCGTCACTGTCAAAACTTCGTTTTGCTTTGTCGGTCCCAGTCCCTTGAGAAACCTTACTTACACTAACTCGTGCCATGAGAGCACCTGACCTGGAGGAGGTGAGAGGCCAGAGTCGGACTGAGTGGTTCCCAGCCCAGCCGCGGTACCGCTCCATCGGGAGGGCAGCCGCGGGAAGGCAGACGGGACCCCAGGGCCAGCTCTGCCCCGTAGCTCCCAAGGCCTCAGCAGCGAACGCAGCCATGTGACGGCAGGGCGGCCCTTGAGCTCAAACCAACCCCAAATCCACTTCCTGTGCACACAAGCCAAAGATTCCACAAATCTGAGAGGGAGAGCAGTGAGGACTGGGGGGCAGAGAGACTGTTGGGCTGTGTGTGGCTGCGGAAGGCAGACGTTTCCCACTGAAAACCCAGGGACGAATGGGAAGTGTAGCTCCGGTTTGGGGACGGGGAGGACAGTAGGGAACCTGCCGGTCCTCCTTGCTCATCTGTGAAGTGAGAGCTGCCTCAGCTCGCTGTTCCCTAGCGCCCCACCTGCGCTAGTCTACGGAAGTCCAGGCTCCCCCGAAGAAACACACCTGTGGCTGTGCAACTCAAGATAAAGCTCTTCATTTTAAATCACGTACGAAACCTGCACGACACTCAAGAAGCTCCCCACAGACACACCGCCACTCCCACGAGGTGACAGCCACCTGAGAAACACAGGTCCGCCGCAGCGACATTAAAGCCGAGACACAAGCAACAGGGGCGGCCCCCTCAGTTTTCCCCATGAGCCCCTCTCTGCCCACAGGAGTCAGGAGGCGTACGGAGAAGACCCAGGCCTGGGACTCGGAGACAAAGTCCGTTCTGGGCCCTCCCCTTCCTGGATGTTTACAGCACACAAACCCTTAACCCTCTGAGCCACTTGGTTTCTTAACCAGCAGAGGTGAGATCCTGAGAAGTTCTCTCTCACTGGGCTGTTCTGAGCCTCAGGAGAGCTTGCCGATGGAGGAGTCCTCGAACCCTCCAAAGTGGTGGTAACACAGCTTGGTCAGTATTACAACAGTGACTGAAATCTGTAGATGTGGACACGGCAGACAAGCCTAATAGGGGACCGGGTACCTTCTCTGAGGTTCGCGTTCTTCATCGGTCAGAGAGGGATGATGGGCTCTACCATGGGGGAGGGGAGAGCTGACGGGAGTGAAGCTCCTGGCACAGTACAGGCACGCAGTAGGTGCTCAATAAATGCAACCTGCAAGTGTGGCAGCCCACGGCCCCTCCCACCTTCTCCATTCTCCGGGATTCAGCGGTGGACATGACTTCAACAAACGTTTCCAGAGCACTGTGCTTTCCGTTTCCATGCGTAGACGCAGTGGCAGCAGCAACTTTAAGGCTTGAGTTCCCAGCGCCGGGCAGAAGTTTTTGTCAAACAAATTCACTGGACCACAAGCCTTACTGTCGATAACTACAGCAGAAGCAGCGGCCAAATGCATATTTAGCAACCACGTTCAGTAGATCTCAGTTACAGCTATGACGTGAATACGGACAGCCACCGCCTCCTGAGGCCTGACTATGTGCCGGGCACGGCAGTGGGCACCCCCTGGCCACCATCTCCAGTTCCCCGGCTGGGCATCGTCACGCCTTGTTGTACCAGGGGACTGACTTGAGGCCGTCAGGGTCTGAAAGCACACCCCCTTGTTCCTAGAGCTCACAGCCTCTCCTCTACAACCCTCCAGGTTTTTAGAGTAAGAACATGCCTTTTCTCTAGTTACGCAAGGTCCCTGGACCTGGCTTCCAAAGGATAAAGAAATCCCACCCTTCTGGCAGGAGAGCGCACGCCACGAAGTGAGCTACACCTCGGGCTCCATGCATCCTAGCTAAGGGGGCCCGGAAGTGAAGGGAACACCCCAAAATAATGACACCTTCATTTTGACAAACGATGCACTTCCAACGTGCCCCTGCCCGCTGAGTCCTCTCACCTTGAAGGAGGCATGCTGCTCCATGTGCCGCAGCAGCTGGGGCTTCTGAGCCGCCGTGTAGTCACACACCGTGCACTTAAACTGCTTCCCTGGAAGGAAGGGAGGATAAGGTGAGCATCATCAGGCTAACAGCTAACAGCTCCCACGGATGAATGCGGTGCCAGGCATAGAGCCAGGTGCGCGACGATCCCCTTGCCACGTGGGAGTCCAGAATCTCTGGGGGAACAGCCTATCCACGCCCAGATACCTGTTGACCACAGGTGGCAACAGAAGGGGTCTCACCATGGAAGGAGAAGAACAGCCTGGGGAGGCTCCAGGAGCAACAACACTTGAGCGGGCACCTGAAGAAAGTCAGGGTGTGGCCAGCTGACTGGACGGAAGAGAAGCACAGAGGGGGAGCCCAGGGGTGGGGAGCATGAAAGTGGGGACCCCAGGTACTCCGGAGACCGGAGCAGCTGGGGCTTCCTTCTGGGACCCAAAGCATGAGGTCTAGAGAGGGGCAGGCACTGGCCCTCGAGACGCTGCCAGAGCATGTCACCAAGAGCATCTTGCGGTCCCGAGAGCCAGGAGAAGGCAGAAGGCCACTCAGCGAAGCAGCAGGATCTGTGCTGGGAACGCCTAACCCTGGCAGGAGTGTGAAAGCCAGATGTTTCGGGGCTGCTAGAAAGGCACTGCACAGAAATGGAAAACACTGCTCTTTGAGAGGATGAATGCATCAGCAACATGCAAACATTCGTTAACGGGATGAACAGGCCCATCATTTATTTGTTAAAACAAATTAATGGACGTACAGGCGCGCTACAGTTTTTACCCCCCGGTGAGCACAAGTGAAACCACGACATGCAATAATACCAACGTGCAACCGAATAGAAATATGACCGACTTCTGCTAGCGGTCAATTGGTCCCCAAGCAGTTCCCAAGGGTGCGGGCCTCTCAGGGAGCCAAGGGCACAGCCACTGCACATGGTACCACAGAAACACCGGCTCCTCCCAGGGGCCTGGCACATCTTTCCTTCACAGACAAGCTGGGTGAGAGAGTCGTCTCCCTCTTCAACCTACAGCCTCCCTTCCTATGAACTCTCAAAGCCAGTGAAAACCGGCTGATGGCACCTGTCACTGGAAACCCGTTCTCACCAAGGGAACCAGTGAACTCCACGAGGCCAAGCCGGTGGCGGATCTTAGTCTGCATTTTGCTGGACTCTGCTGCACGTGGCTCTGCTGATAGGCCAGTATCCTTAGCGTCCATGAGGCTTTCTCTCTCGTCCACACCTTTCATACACTGGCATTCCACAATGCTCTGGCCCGCGCTCCCATTCTTCTCCTTCTAAAAGCATCCTTGCATATAACCTTCCCCTGTGGACTTCCGTAAACCTTTAATGCCAAAATCTATACCTTCCCACCCTTACTTCTACATCCTCTACCCTTCCCTGATCTCAAGATCTGAGTATCCAACCATCTGCTGGGCTTCTGCCCAGCTGACCCAAATGTACTAACTGGGACTTACTATCTTCCCCATCAAATGGGTCCCACCTCCAGCCTTCCCAGTTCTTTGCCCACCCAATCATGAAGTCAGAGACTTGGCAGCCTTCCTCAGTATCTCCATGACGCCAACTGCACTCATCTCAGTTTTTCAGCACCTGATTTTACCTCCTAAATATTTCTCTATTTCTCTGTTTCAATACCTCCACAATGGTTTAAGTCCTCCTCATTTCTTTCCTGGACAAGAACAAAAGCCTGTAACCTGGCTTCCTTGCCTTCAGGTAACCCTCCCATCCATCTGCCATTCATCCATCCATCCATCCATCCCCCATCAACTAACCATTCATCTGCTCACCTGCCCACTCTGTCTCCCTTCCTGCCTCCTTCCCTCCGCCCATCATCCATCCATCCATGCGAATGCCCCATCCTCTATCCAGATGACCTGACACATAAACTCTCCCACAGATCTTTCTGCATACCCACCAAGGACTCCAACTGCAGAACAAAGCTGAAAAGTTCCAGAGCATGATACAGAGGCCTTGCAGAACCGAACTAACTCCCCGCACCTGACCCTTCTCTGACTTCCAGTCTGCCTTTCACTCTGTACGTTCGGCTCTGTAACACAGAAGTCTTTCAGTTCTGGCAGCATTCTGCTCAGCCTTTGCTAACACCTTCCATGCCTGGGGTGCACTGCCTCTCGGCATCTGGCCAGTCTTCACTGTAACTCGCAACTCAAGTTGAACAACATCTCTGGCAACTGGGCTAAGAGTGAGCCCTCTGCGGCTCCCACGGACCCTTCCCACACGCTTCTGTCCATGCCTGACTCTGCAGCCTCGCCACTGCCTGCTCACAAGCCTGGGGCTGCCCTGGCTGCCCACAGGGACCACGTCTTATTCATCTCCACAACCCCAGCACCTGAGTGCATGGCTCACACCGAACGTATCCTGTGCATTTTACTGAACTGAACTGGGAAAGGAACAGAATGGAAATTATGCTTATCTTACATGAATAACACTTTCAACAGTAACAGCAAAAGGGAAATAATAGTATAAATATATTAATACAATTACACTATCATTCTAGATGAACAAACCCCAAATTCTAGATTCTACTAATTCTACAAGTCCAAAGCATGGAAAAACTTTTTCATGTGGAAGGCAGACACGTCATAATTAGAAACCAAGGAATACTTGTTCTTAAATATAGTATCATCTTTTTTCAAACACAGGGCCGCACATTTCTACATGTCTTGGAGATAACCTCAGCTCCCCACACTTCTCCACTGATTCCGACTCACACAAATGCATCCTCACTGTGCCAGGCAGCCTGAGCAAAATGGTGTTGGGTTCCCCACTGCCTTAGGAGGGGCAGGAAGGCTGACAGAGCCATTCTCCAAATTGATAAATATTTTTACTCATTACCAATACGCATCGCTCAATGAGTAAAAGATGAAGTGCTAAAAAGGTACTCTGAAATGGATAAACAGAATCACCTCAGTTGAGATCAAGAGTCAGCCTTTTATGGATTTACTCCCAGGGCTCTGCAAGAGACAAAAAAAGAACAGAGCTCCTAAAAGCACCCCCCCCCCGCAAAAGCCTCAGAGTCCCGGCAATAAATATTACAAATGTTTCAGCAACCTGACAGCCCCATCAACCAGGCCTGGGAGAGCACTTGACATAATCTTTAGCTGCCTAATTAAAATAATGTAATGGAGAACCATGACTCATCATGAAAGAGCAATGCTTTGAGACTATCAGCTGATTTCTATCAAGACACTCCTGAGAACTGCAGGGAGAGTGGACAGAAAACATAGCATTTACCCAAGGCTAGAGTGACCTCCAAGTTCCGGCCAATGCAACATCCAGTGTCTGTACCTGGATCACACCACAGCCCAGGAAAAGAAGGGAGTGATTACAAAGAAAAAGGCGGTTTTGGTAAAAAGTGAATGCATTTTCCACACAACATATCTGGCTAGCTCTAGCTACCGAGCTACTGTCCAGGAGCAGCTGTGCTCCGACTTGATGTCCATGACCTCAGCCACGCACCCCCAAGCGAGGCAGGCAGTGCTAACCCCTTACAGATAAGGAAGTAGGATCAAGAATCTGAGCAACTGGCGGGTTATGAAATGGTCAGTGGCAGAGCCTGGATTTGGATCCCAAGTCCCTGTTCAGAGCCACGTAACAATCCTTCAGCTAGTAAGGGTAGGACACCAATTCCCCAAAGGGAACAAAGGATTTATAACAGCAAGAGATGTATCCGTACCATAAAGGCCATCGCACAGGATGGTGGCCCATTTGAAAGGGGTGCCCAAGAAGGGCCACTGGCAGCGGAAGCGCATTCTTTCTGGCTCGGTCCAGCTCGTCCCGTGTGACCCTGGGCTCGCTCTTCTCTGCAACTTAGAG